AAAACTTGGCAAATTCGCGCGAGTTCCGTTGAACCCACGAAGGATCTCGAATAGAATTTATGTAAATGCATTTCACTTATTAAAACAAATCTAAAGTGAATTTTTTCTTGTGAAAATTAACTTCATTTATTTCATTCGTGAAATAAGTTTGAGAGTGAATTTTATTTATGAAAATAAAGGTCATTTATTTCATCTATAAAATGAGTTTATGAGAGTGAATTTCATTTATTCCATTTATGAAATGCATTTATGAAAGTGAATTTCAATGATAGAAATAAATTTCATTTATTTCTTTCATAAAATCAATTTATGAAAGTCAATTTTGAAAATTTTATTCATTTCGCGTTTATAAAGTGAATTTTATTATTTCCATTTTCATTGCATTTATCAAGTGAATTTAGGGAAATCAATTTTATTTATGAAAATGAATTTCATCTATTTTATTTATGAGGCGAATTTAATGGACTTACTTCATTTATGAACCTGAATTTCATTTACGAGATGAATTAAATGACTCGATTTTACTATCACACGCGTCACGCTATATTAAGTTGAGAAAGAAATTTACTTATCATATGTACTCGGTCTTTTGTTACACATAACGTGAAGTACTCGCTAGAATAAGCATAAAAACTGGAAAGACATATCTTTTTAGGCGATCGAGTTACTTTCTTCCCGATGCGCGACACAGAAATCCCGCGAGTGCGCGACGCAATATAATAAAAGAGTCTCTCGTCGATGTTCTCCTGGAGATTCCTCGAAAATGCAAATTACCTCACGCCGTTTGCGACGTTCCCTCGCGGTTTTGCCGCGGAACCGGAGGCAATCTCAGCGGAATCGAACACCGGTTCTCTCCGCTCCTCCTGCCCGCGGACATTCTTTTTCTTTTTCTCCGGAGGATCATTACCGGGTGTCGTGGGACGCGGCGCGAATTTCGATTCGCGTTTTACATACGGCCGAACGGCGGCGACGCGACACATGGGGCTCTCCTACGGGAGAAAATTTGATGTACTAACCGTTGCAGAGGGGACTTACGAGAGAACGTATAGGGTGACTCGCGCGCATATGGTGCGCGATAAAAACGCGGCGTGCGCGCGGTGTCGCTCGCACGCCTCGCGCGCGAGAAGAGTAATGCTGCTGGGGAGGCGGCCGAGATGATGGGGCCCATCTAAGCGCCGTGGATAGGGATAAAGGGTGAAGTCGCGATGGGGCTGCGCCCGATGTTGCTGAGGTTACTGCAACGCCGATTGCGATACCGCGTGTCCCAGCACCTCGCCGTGTCGTGCTCGAGACTCGGGATGTGCGATTTATGAAATTGCGTGTCGCGACGCGATCTTTTTTAAGAGTCGCAATGAATGCGATATATCGCATCACAACTGTATATCGCAAATTTTTCAATCGCGCGCAATTTTGTATCGCAAGTGCGATTTTTAATCATAAGAATCTGAAACTTGGTGGGAATCGTTATCGTTATATTTGTATAAAATTATTTGTATAAATAATAAAATGTTTAAAGAAAACATGTAAAAAGTTGAAAAAAATTATTTATACAAATAATTTTTTGGTTTGGCCGAGATTCGAAACATTTTTGACTAATTTAGCACAGATTTGAAATATTTTTGTTGGAATCTCGGCTAAAGAAATTTAGAATGGTTCGTGTTTCAGCTATGCCGATTTTGTTAAAATTATTTAACTATATCTTGTATTGAAATAAATGTTAAACATGTTAAACATAAATAAAACCAACTCTCTTTCTCTTTCTACTGCATTAAAATATTCTTTGAAGTGTCCACTATAAAAAAAAATACAAATTTTGTTAGGAAAGAATAGTTAACAATGAAAGCATAATGAAGTTTAAATTATGTTTTTTGAAAAACATCATTTAACCCCATTAAGCTATGTTTGTGAAGATATAAAGCAGTCTCATTTTTGAGAGCCGATTGTTCCAACTTCTTAAATTAACTAAAAGTTAGATCACATGTCTATGTTTGTTTTTCCTTTAACTTAAGTAAACCTATTCCCAAAAGGTACACTCCGATTTTTCTCTAATTTGGCACAAATATAGTACAAAAATATTTAGGTTATATTTTTTCATTCTGATCCACTTTTACGAGCAGTTTATAGCTTTTTAATGTTTTCATTCCTATCATCAAGTGCAACAAAAATGCATAAGAAATAAAATTGAATACAAAATATAGGGCGTTTATGGTTGGCTGATTATGAATATGAAGTTAAATTTGTATAAAATTATTTGTATAAGTAATAAAATGTTTAAAAAAAAACACGTAAAAAGTTGAAAAAAATTATTTATACAAATAATTTTTTGGTTTGGCCGAGATTCGAAACATTTTTGACTAATTTAGCATAGATTTGAAATATTTTTGTTGGAATCTCGGCTAAAGAAATTTAGAATGGTTCGTGTTTCAGCTATGCCGATTTTGTTAAAATTATTTAACTATATCTTGTATTGAAATAAATGTTAAACATGTTAAACATAAATAAAACCAACTCTCTTTCTCTTTCTACTGCATTAAAATATTCTTTGAAGTGTCCACTATAAAAAAAAATACAAATTTTGTTAGGAAAGAATAGTTAACAATGAAAGCATAATGAAGTTTAAATTATGTTTTTTGAAAAACATCATTTAACCCCATTAAGCTATGTTTGTGAAGATATAAAGCAGTCTCATTTTTGAGAGCCGATTGTTCCAACTTCTTAAATTAACTAAAAGTTAGATCACATGTCTATGTTTGTTTTTCCTTTAACTTAAGTAAACCTATTCCCAAAAGGTACACTCCGATTTTTCTCTAATTTGGCACAAATATAGTACAAAAATATTTAGGTTATATTTTTTCATTCTGATCCACTTTTACGAGCAGTTTATAGCTTTTTAATGTTTTCATTCCTATCATCAAGTGCAACAAAAATGCATAAGAAATAAAATTGAATACAAAATATAGGGCGTTTATGGTTGGCTGATTATGAATATGAAGTTAAATTTGTATAAAATTATTTGTATAAGTAATAAAATGTTTAAAAAAAAACACGTAAAAAGTTGAAAAAAATTATTTATACAAATAATTTTTTGGTTTGGCCGAGATTCGAAACATTTTTGACTAATTTAGCATAGATTTGAAATATTTTTGTTGGAATCTCGGCTAAAGAAATTTAGAATGGTTCGTGTTTCAGCTATGCCGATTTTGTTAAAATTATTTAACTATATCTTATATTCAATTTTATTTCTTATGCATTTTTGTTGCTGGTAGGAATGAGGACATTAAAAAGTTATAAACTGCCCGTGAAAAACTCAAAGTTAGTCAAAATGAAAAAATACTACTTAAATATTTTTTGTATTTCTACATTTGTGTCAAATTAGAAAGAAATCGAAGTGTAACTTTTGAGTAAGTTTACTTGTTAAACAAAGACATATTAATATGATTTAACTATCAGTTATCAAGAAGCCGGAACAATCGACCCTTAAACGAGACTGATTTATATCTTGCAGAGAGCTGAATTTCGACGTGTTCGTTAACGTGGAATTATCCTACATTTTTTACTAAAAAGCGACGTTTCGCTTTCGTTATCTTTTGGCCAGTTGAATCAATTATTTCGCAGATATCACGTACTGTCATGTATCTCTTCTTCGACTGTGATTGTAAAGCGATGGACGAGCCGAGGAGTATTATTTGGCGTGAAGTGAGGGAACTTGAGGGAACACACAATACGAAGGAAATGAGTTCTCACGGGAAACACTAAAGCGTCGGGAGAGCCTCGCAAAATCTATAGCTCTATGTTTCGCCGAGACAGTCTCGGCCGTCGTCGCGACGTCGGCCGAGCGAATCCAGACAGTCGGTCGTATCGTGCACGATATGAACGACTGTCTTAAAAATTAGTATCGATTTTCTCCCACTCGTCCGTCATCGGCGACATCGAGTTTCCAGGAAAGGCGATTACAAATTGAAAAAAATGAATCTCCTTAGGATCGTTAAGTTGATGCGAAAGATTTGTCGCGTTTGTCAGATAAAGTAATGATAGAATTTGAAATAAACGGAATAAAATGAAGAAAATGAGAGAAAAAAGACGAAATTATATACATCCAATTTTTGGAGATTAATCATTTTATCGCATAAAATAAACAGCATAAACTCGATTTTTTTAAATATCTAATGAGATTTTCTTATTTTTCTTTTGAAAGCCAAACTTTCTGTAAGAATTTGATAGGAAAGTGTCGGATCTTTTGCACTAAATCTACCTATTCTTACTCTGTCTCATATTTAGAGAGATTCTCGTGATTACTACAACGTGAGAAAATTGACGACGGAAATTAAAAAATTTAATAATTAATCAATGCAATATATTTGTCTCTTAAGTAATTAAAGAAATTTTAGAATTTCCATCGTCAGTTTCAATCGGTAATTTTTAAATAACTCTACAAATCGGCGGGTAAAATTGATGTCGAATTTACACACATCCATCTATTTGGTCATTTTTCTGGTTATATAATTAATTCCAAATTATTCATTTATTACGACTGTGAGAAGTGAAATCGATCATTCGATCCCTTCCTCGAGTCATTATTGAAAACAAAAAGATCCCATTACAAGCTACACGAAAATCTAATTTCGAGGGGAAGGTTCGGCGCGATTTGCAAGCGACTTTTCGGAAGAGAAGGAGACTTCAGGGTGTCGGTTTCCTTCACCCCTAACGAAACTACCTACCTATCGGCCGTACACGACTGGCGCCCACGCTGCTCGCACCGTTTAACATGCGACGCGCGCCGTCGTGTGACACGGTCTTCTAGTTCTTATTAGTCATAGCCGCGGCAAGGGAGGACGAGCTGCGGCCGTAACACAGGCAACGGCAGGTCGGGGCAACCCTCCGTGGACACGTATCGGGTGTAACACGCGTGCAATAGACGCGCGCGAGCGGCCTCCAGCACGGGGGGCTGATCGTAACGAGGGGCGCGCCCTTACGACTGCAACCCCCGCTTTGCCGCTAGTGTTTCGCCCGACGCTTACCCGTTCGCCTCGCGACCGCGTTTCGGACGGAAAAACCGCCGGGAAGGTTCGGAAAAACCGTGGCTCTGTGACTCTCCACGCAGTTTCTCGTTTCGACCGCGCCCGACGGCGAAGAGAGGATTCAGCTCATTTAGAGCGTATCCTTGCTGGACACGCAGGCGAGTTCGCTGCGTGAATTGAGTGCGTGTGTCTTCGTGAATCGAATTCCATGTCGCCGTGAAGCCGTGAGCGGGAAGCTCGCTTCGGAAAATTGCGCGTCGCAATATTAGATTGATGCGAAAGGTTGGACTTTGTTTTCCTCAAGCAAAATCTGAAACGAAATTATTCCATTTCGACATAAACTGTTTCTTCTCATTCCTTTTTCGCATTTATATCTTCTGTATATCTTCATTGTAGATCAACATCGTTTTCTATTTGCAATTAAATGCTTAACTAATGATTTCCCCGGACTTTTTGCGTCTATCTTCGTTTGGGAATATCTTTATTTTTGCTTTTATCCACCTTTATGACGAGCTTCTTTTATACATAAAAACAATTTCCTCGTGTTATATAAATTAATTAATCATTTTTACAAATGAATTGAACAACATTGACGTGATATTTTTTTTAAGTAACTTTTGTTTTCCTTTTAATAGCCAAACATCCGACGAGAATATAATAGAAAAATGACAAACCTTTTGCACCAATCTAATATACATACACATAAGTGTTGAGCATTGATCGATGGAAATTTTCTTTGTCTAAGATAATCGACAATACAATAATCAAAATTAATCAATAGTCATATATAATATCACAAATAATTTCATTGATTGATGAAATTATCACTCAAACTTTGATTGTGATTAATTATATGTATAGTCAATGTAATTGATTATACATGTATCAGTGTATAATTAATTGTATTGATTACAGCGTATAATTAATTACATCAATCAATCAAATATATTGATTCTACCCGAGTTAAAATTTCAATTCTATTTCCGACTTTTTTAATTATCTTATTTCATTTAATGTATACTTTGATATATTCTGAAATCTATATCAACCAAGCCAAATATCTTTTTATTCTACTTGAGAACTTTGCCGAAAGGTCTCCTGTTTTAGAACCCACAACTCGCATTTTATGCGTTTACTGCCATTTAAAGGCGCTAAGTAGAACTTTAGAGTCCCTATGTATATTAAACTATGTATACATACACTGACCTTTCAGAATATATAAATATGAGAAAGTTCAGATCGAAAATAGAGCTAAAATTCCGACTCGACTACACTGATTAATAATGAATTTCATTAATCGATTAAATTATTCGTATTTACATGTATGTGACGATGGATTAATTTCGATGATTGATTTGCCGATTATTTTAGGGAAAAAAAATTTTAACCATTAATGCCCACATCACTGATAGGATAGACTCGGGTATGATAACTATACGGGAAAGAAGAGAAGGCCATAAGCTGTACTTTCTCTAATAATTGCTAAATAATAGGTTTTAGCACCTGAGTGTACGCATATGAACTACTGTAAATATCGATTATCTTTGAAAATGACTACAAACGCGCAGTATTTTGGCAATTATTGCAGAAATTATAATCTAATGACCGTCTTTTCCGAGTTCACCCTATATATATACACACACACGCGCGCGCGTTTACGGAGTCGTGCGTCTTTAATTCGCGCGAACGCGAAAGTCCGCGTCATTTTCTCGCCGAGTCGACAAAGCCGCGCGTATCAGCTCACACGAGCGCGAATTCGTGCACTTTTAATCCGCGCCTGCGACTCGACACGCGTAAATTCACGCGCGCGTCCGCAATTAGCGCGTTCGCGCAAACATCCGCGCGCCGACGGATCCGCGACGTTTACGAGTCCTCACTTTTGCAAATCGCGTTATCGTCGCGGGCCCAATTAATCTGCGAGCCGCGTCACACTCGCGCCGATAAATTCACGTGCGTCCGCAATTCGCGCGCCCATAAATCCACGTGTCCGCAATACACGTGCTCGCACGTCATGGCGCTGATCGCGAGCTGCCTCCCTCCTGTCCCTCCTAATATCGCGTGAAAGCGGATCGCAATGTGCATTGAGTGCGTCCTGACGCTCTCACTATATATCACTCGATAGCGGCATTAGCTCGCATGGAAGCGTCTCCGTGACGGAGACGCGCCGGAGTCGCGGAGGGTGGACGCCGCGCGGGGGGGCGCAGCCCTTGGATCATGGCGCGCGTCACCCTTGCGGCGCTCACGTTTGTTTCGCTAAAACTTCGATCGGACGCTTTGAGGCATCGGGAAGACCCAGTGAGTAGCAAGGATGCGTCGTTTCTCGCAAGGACCCTACTACTACACCATCGGCGAGCAGCTGCGATGGCGGATGACGAACGTGCAACACTCCCGCATCGGATTTGCGAACGTGAGGTAAAAATCACCCGAGCACGCAGTGGCACGTTTTTTATTCTGCCCGCGGAACACAGAACGCGTCTCTCCCTTCTTCTCCATCTCCCCCTTTCTCTTTGTCCTTCTCTTCTCGACTTGTATTGACACTAGACGCTAACTACGTGTCGCACGAACGCGAAAATTATCATACTTTAATATACATTTAGTGCAAAGAGAATAAAGATTAGGATAAACATGCATTGAGAGAAAATACTTGCAATTTTATCTGTAGGATATAAAGTTTCTGCAAGATTTTTTGTGGATTCTGCGTGATTATGTGGAATAAAATAAAGTTCATTTTTGTGGGATAAAATTTCTTTCTCTGTGAATGTACTTTATATCCCACAAATCAGTTTTCAAGTATTTTTTTCGCAGTGTGATAATGACACAACCGAACGTGTTTTGGTTGCAAGAAACAGAATTTCTGGTTTTTAAGAATTGAATTTGGCTCATAAGACCAGAAATTTGATTTATATAACCAGAAATTGTTTTAAATATTAAAATCAGATACTAAAGTTATTAACGATTAATATTAAATATACGCGGAAAAAATGGTTTTCATTAGCATGACACATTGAAATGCGTTTTGATAAAAAAAAAAAAAAAAAAAAAA